AACTGAAAACAGCTCATTTGTAGTAGCTTTCTTGTGATGTCACAAGAAAACAAGTCAGACATGCCCTCAAAACACCGGTGGAAAAACACTCTGAGCTGCATGGCACTGTGACAGGACGTCCGCCTGCTGCCTCCCCTCTCCATTCCAAACACTAGCTACCTTCCAGGCAGTCAATGGACATTAGGGTTGTTACCGTGATGTAGAGACACAGTTAAAGCATGTAAACCTTTTCTGATACAACCCCCTAAATAAAATTTTGAATCCGAAAATGGGCATAATATGACCTCTGTTAGATACAAAAATGAATTGAATTTGAACACTGGACCATTTTGAACTCTTTATGCACAGTATTTTTTGTTTTGGCTCTCTCGTAAAGTTAACCAAATGTCATTTATGTACATTTAGTTCTCACCCCTCAAATGGTGTAAATAAATGTTTTTGGGTGGCAATTTTCCTTTTGCAACTGCCATGGAAACCATGGCAACCTGTCACTCCATAATTCTTTGTCTTCTACTGTTTTCTTGTTAACTTTTGATAGCTATTATTAACTGATAACTGTTCTCCACATTAAAGAGATGTATTTACATTTTAAAACCTGCGAAAATGTGGAATATCCATTCATATCCATAATGCAACTAGAGTAGTGGGGTGAAATGGATGTATGTATCTGCAGTGCTGAATTGCAACTTTTAAGTTTTAAAAAACACAAGCAGAGTGATGTGTCTGTTGCCATTTCTATCTGTGCACATCGTCTGAGTATGAATCTGAGTATGCTCATTTTTGACAAAATTGTGCCGACTACTCATGTTTTTCTGCTGTAATATCCGCGCATGAGTCACCTAGACACTTCTTTTCCCCAGATAGTAATTGGGCGGAAGCACCAAAAGTGGAGATCTTACGTTATTCTGCACAGGCTCTTCAACCAATCAGCAGGTTCCCTGGATTTCCAAATAACCAACCAAAACAGTTATGGGATAGGGAGAAGTGCAGTCAACCAACTTCACGCTCAACATTGTTGCAGCTTTATTATGGATGTTAGTATTAAAAAAAAGATACAGTCCTACAACTACAACAAGGAAGTGATATTTTTACAATACCAACTCTGTTGTTTTAGTAAGAAGGTCAGTCAATAATTGCCCTTTTTCCATCACACCAGCAACCACAACCAGATTTCATGCTACACTATGACGCTGGTTATCTTTCTGAGGAGTTGGAGGTGTGCATCCTTTTGCCTGCAGCCAGCAATGGCCTGCTTTTTTTAAATAAAGAAAGTTGCTAGGAGACAAAAAGACAATCAGTTGCTCTGACCCAGAACAGAGGACAATCAACATCTCTGTTGGTGACAACGCTGGAATCTCTGAGTGCATCACCCAGAGAGACAGGAGCATGCACGTGTCTGCATACAGTGCCAGTGTAACAACTCGCGCACAGAAGACCTGGAACGAAAGGCATAGAGAGAGAGAGCGAGAGAGCGAGAGAGAGGCTGACCCTCTCAATCGGACATTTCTTCACAGCAGCTGGCAGCCATATTACAGAATTCCCCTTGACATTGTGCATGAAAGAATTTCACCAGCTTTCAGGCTGCATTTTGGACCCTCCTGGATCCATCCTCTTCACTTAACTACAATTTTGTCATCATAATTGTATAAACTATGACTTTATGTTGGATTTTTTGTTTTGTTTTTCCTCATTTGAATCGAGGGCTGAAGTACAGAAGGTTTACTGATTGTAAAGGCAAATTGTGATTTGTGATATTGGTCTATACATATAATTCAAAATTATTTTGTGTGACTGCTGTTGAATGTTGTAGAGTTGTATCACCCTCATTTTTTGTTGACAGTTTAGAAAGACTTTGTGCCTTGAGGATGTTGCTGAGACCTCTGATTTGAGGTCTGAAGGCATAATTCTTATGAATATGGAAGATTTTATTGGACTTTAATATTTGTATTATACACACACACACACACACACACACGTTTACGGTATTATCTGTTTATTTTATTTTAATGTTTAATATATTATTATAATAACACACGCACATTTATTTATTTTATTTTCATTTTTAATATATTTACATTTTTAATATATTTGAATTTTTCTAACACATGCACACAAACACACATACGCTTATTACTTGTTTAATGAAATGTATGTGTACACAAATGTGTACTATAATGCGCAAATATTTCACTATCTACAAATATGTATTTGTGATGTGTAAATTCATATCCACAAAAATACAAAGTGACTTCTACACACAAAACAGTTTTTGTTCATTTGCAGATTGCTTTCTGTCAGTTTGCGGGTCATGTTAAATTTGTAACTTCCTTTTTACACATTTGTGGAATTTTGTCCGATGTGTACTGCAGAGATCTGTAAAAAAAAATATACACAAATATCTCACTACCCAAAACATGTATTTTTACATGTATTTTTACATGTTTTGGGTCAATCATCTCCACAAAAATAAAGTGCAATTTGCAAAAACAGTATGTATGAGTTACTCTGTACACACATATTTTAATTTCACATACAAAGTGTTATTTATGCATTTGTGGATCTATTTTTACACACAAAACAGTTTTTGCACATTTGCGCATAATTTCCTGTCAATTTGCAGGTCATGTTACATCTGTGACTTCCTTTGTACGCATTTGTGGAATTTTGTCCACAGCGTAATTAAAATTAATTAAAATTAAAATATGTTTGTACTGAGTAACTTGTTCATATTTGCAAATTGCACTTTATTTTTGTGGATATAATTTTACACAACACAAATGTAAAAATACATGTTTTAGGTAGTGAGATATTTGTGTATTTTTTTTTACAGATCTCTGCAGTACACATTGGACAAAATTCCACAAATCTGTAAAAAGGAAGTTACAAATGTAACATGACCCACAAACTGACAGAAAGCAATCTGCAAATGTGAAAAAACTGTTTTGTGTGTAGAAGTCACTCTGTATTTTTGTGGGTATGATTTTACACATCACAAATGTGAAAATACGTATCGATAGATAGTGAAATATTCGCGCATCATAGTACACATTTGTGGATTGTTTTCTTTGGGTTACAAATATTAAAGTCTAATAAAATCTTCCATATATGAACATCTAATGAATGACGGCATGTTTACTACATATGTGTGTTTTGTTTATAAATGTCATGCAGGGGTTATGCCCACTTCATAGATTGCAGGAATGTTTTTGTAGTAGTACAATATCGGTAGTACAATATCAGGGGCTTGTCATGATACATCCTTGTCACAGTGCTTTATACTACATGTCACATGCACCCCATTCACACACTGATGACAGTGGCTACCATGCAAGGAGCCAGCTGCTCATCAGAATCAGAAACTCACAGTCACACACATTCACAGGAGCAAGCAATTTGGGGTTAAGTATCTTCAAGATGCAGACACAGCTGCCCCATGTGGCCCATGTCCTCACACAGTATCAGAAGGTGCAGGAGCGCTAGGTCTTTAACAACCACCAGCTCCGTGATGTCGTCATGGAGGAGTGGAAGAGGACTCCAGTGGCAACCTGTGAAGCTCTGGTGAACTCCATGCCCAAGAGGGTTAAGGCAGTGCTCAAAAATAATAAATATTGACACTTTGGGCCCAATTTGGACATTTTCACTTAGGGGTGTCCTCAATTTTGTTGCCAGCGGTTTAGACATTAATGGCTGTGTGATGTGTTATTTTGAGGGGACAGCAAATTTACACTGTTATTACTGTAAACTCACTACTTTAAATTGTAGCAAAGTATCATTTCTTCAGTGTAGTCACATGAAAAGATATAATCAGATATTTACATTTACATTTCTATGAGGGGTGTCCTCACTTTTGTGAGATACTGTTGTGTGTGTGTGTGTGTATGTGTATGTATGTATGTATGTATGTATGTATATATATATATATATATATATATAATATATCAAAACAGGGTTTGATTTTATGTGAATCTTAAGGATCATAACTTTAAGCATACAGTATTTTTATTTCACTCATTTCATGTCATTTTTTCTGGTTGAACTTACTTCGGTGCTGCTACTTAACCAGACCAAAGTGACTGACTCTCAACACTTGAACATCTTGTGATCTTGTGTTTCAGAAACCCACCATTCAAAATGTACAGCAGAAGTAGTAGTTGTTGTAGTTGTGACTGAAAGATGCTTCAACAAATGTTTTTTTTTATTGATTTTGTTAAAATAAGGAAAGTAAGCCACTGTATTGCACATGCATACAATGAAACCACAGACCACAATACATGGCATATTTCTTTAAACAATAAAACACCATCTTGCTGCAACAACACAGATAAAGACACTTTTACTTTAAAAATCAATATATTTGATTACAGCACATTTAAAACACAACAAACCAGCAGCTCTCCAGGGCTAAATAATGACGGAATTAGAGACACACACACACACACTCACCCACACACACTAGCATGTCCAAAGGAGTTACTACTGCTTATGCTACTGTCAGCCAATCCACACACTGTCATTTTCCAAAATGAGAACACCATAGTCAATAAGTCATTTCAAGCGAAATGAGTGAGCTCTGTTAACATTTTAGAAATAGAATAATTAAATATTATCTAAATATACTCTACTGTTCCTAGTAGCTATCGGAAACTTCATAAACCATAAAGAATTGAATTGCATTTCCCTCTTTTGGATGTACTCTCCCTCCTGATAGCTAACTCCCTGTAAGCAATGCATGTGCATGCCCACACATACATACACACACATCCAGACATATATTAACACAGTGGAATAAAGATTTTAAAATTACATCAATTAAACTACCAATAAACACAATAAGATTACATAGAAAATGTTTCAACTTGGAACATAATAATTAATTTATCACCAAATTACGCACCCCAGCGTTATATAGCAAAGAACTAAAAAAAAAAATTAAAAACTTATCAGTGATAGGCATGACATGGACTTCCCAAAATTTGTCCTGCCATCTATAGCACATAAATCCAAAGGACAGTGGTTGGACATATTATGGAACTGATGTGAGTTGAGGCAAGCAAGAGATGTTTGTAGATGAAGAGCTTGTCAAAGAAATTCCATGTTCCATGCAACAATCTGTCATCTCTTCAGTATAATGATACAGTTTTGTGAGAGAAGATGCAGTTACTAACCTTCTAATGTGAACTTTAAAGCTCCACTATTTTTTCTTCTTTCAGTAATGGATCAGATGATAATGATTGAAGGAGCGATTTGGCATATTTGATATTGTTTTGTAGCCTGGCATCGCTAGACTAATTCGCAAAAGTTCATTTTTGATTTCCAAGGGGCGTTATCAACAGGTGCAGAACAAAATACCAATGGATGCAATTGGATAGACCTATAACCATTCAGTGCAATGAAATGTTATCATAGCGCTGAGTGAAACATGCAAGTTGGGGCAGTGCTTGGTCCGTTTTCAAGCAGAACAAAAATTTGAAAAACAGACTCCTCAAGCTGAACAGTACACAAAAAATTGTCTTGATTCATATTTGATCAGCACTGCCTAGTTTGACAGTTTGATTTGAGTTACATGAGCCTCGTGTGTTGTGCACTGGACGGACCTGCAGACTGGTCCAGACCTACAACCAATCAAAGCAGCGAAACATGTGACTTTTTAAATCTGGACCCCATGACGCTCCTCTGTCAGTCATCGTATCAAACTGCCCCCTATTAGATAAACGGTTGGATCCACTTCAGGTGGAAATCTGTCTGAATGGGAGGGGGGCACAAACGTATCTGACATAGCAAATGAGACTGTTTCGGTTTACTAACTGCACTCCTCTTTCAAAAGAACCCAACGGCAGACAGAAAAAGTTAGCAACTAGGTGCAAACATCACATCACATCACATCACATCACATCACAGCAGCTAAGAAACTTTACAGGATGATAATATGCTGTGATTTGATATATGTAACATGTTGTTACGCTTCCCCTAAGTGGCACAAAAATTATTTAATGTAGCTTCAATAAGGCTGCAAATGTTTTACATGATTTATTTTCATTAAACATTAGCACTGCTACATACACATTTTTGAAAAAGCTAAAATATCCTGGAAATTCTGCTTACTCTGTGGCAACAAAGAAATCTCTGGAAGCATACAAACACAAATAAATGTTGTGTACTAATTATGTCAAAAATCCAACAAGATCCAACAGGATCAACATAGGCATGCAGTGCATTTTAGAAATACAAACAAGTAAAACAGTCCCATTGTAGCTTACACATCACTTACAGCACTTCACATAATCATTTGCAGTCACTATAATTAAAGACAAAGGATCAAAACAAATACATGTGGGCCATATTTAGATGCAGTATGTTCTTCCAGCTTTTAATATGTAAAGTTAGATTCTTTAAATTTTCCTTAATCTTCCCTTGGAAATATATTTTATAGCTTCAGAGTGCATGTTTGCCAACCAGATTTTTAAAATATTCTTTAACTAATATATCCTTAAACTAAAATATTTACACTCACTTTAATTGCAGGAATTAAAGATAATACCAGGGAGCTAATATCACTCAACACAGTGTATACAATTAACATGTGTGTGCTAAGGTATTAGCATGAGAATCTGCTGGGAAATATGATGACTGGTGTTCTCATCAGTTAAAGGGTGAGCTGACTTATGGGACAGGTTTATGGAGGAAAACAATTGCCATAGATTTGAATTTATAAGTAACTGAATACTTCACTGTAAAATTTAATCACTACTCAATACCACTTTATTTAGAAAATATATATCATATAAAGAAAAATATTTCAGAGCTAAAAGTAATTTCACATTTACATATTCAGCTGTTTAAATCAGATTCATGGCCATTATTTTCTTCTATACAAGTTCCCCAGAATCTGGTATACTCCGCGACAAAATACTGCTACAAAACAACAACGATTGTAGTTTTAAAACTTTTCTCACAAAAACAAATAGCGTCTGTGTATTAAAAGAAGTCACTACAACTAACAATAAATATGACACACTTCAAGTAACAGTAAACATTTTAGAAAATAGCCACTAAGATTGATATTTTATCCATGTCCAGTACATAAACGTACATGTTTAACCTGGTTTTGCGAATTTTTATTTTCAAAAACAATTGCTGTAACATATTACTTTTTTAACATGTATAGAAATGTATGTATAAATGTAAAGAGGACGCTCCCAGTGTCTCTCGTGCCCATTTTAGAATGGGAGACATGTTAAGCTAAGAAAATCTGCTGAAACAGGCTACACGTGAGCTGGATTTCTGTGCTGGACCAACAGAGATGAAATCCACTTCAACCTTTTCAAATGATATCTGCTGTATAATGCATGCAGGCTTTAGACAACAAAAGTATTTTTCATGGATTGGTTTCTGGCTCATAGCTTTAAAACCTAATGTGCAGCACATGTAATTGACCACCTCTCTGTAAAGGTACTTCCAAATAAACCTCTGTCTTGAGTTGAGGCTTTTATCCTTACCAAATGACTGATAATAAGTGCTACAGTATAGCACCTAGCTAAGGTCAGTGGCAGAGGAGCACACATTAATGTAGAACTCTTGAGGACTGCAGGCAGAGAAGGGTTTCTATAGCTCACCATCTTAGACCTAGTATCACTTTGTAGTTGCACATATTAGATGTCTTTGGTATGTTTTAAGCTGGCTGGCTCACTCATAAGATTACATAATTGGCCAATATTTAATATTTTTTAGAATATGTGTAAATACTGCATTTACACATCACAGGTGTGTCAATATAAACAACAAGACACCAGTCAGTGTCTCCATGCTTTCTACACCAGTTAAAGCTGACCATGCATTAACATCTAATCGCCTTTTATTTCTTTCTTCGCCAGCAAGAGGTCAAAGATGTAATGGTTATGTTGATAATTTGATATTATTTAAAGCACATTTTATTTTATCTATATTTTGTATTTTAAAGTCCCAAACCAAAAATGTCAGGATAGGATTCTCAGAGCACTTCAGTGTCCGATCACTAAATGTCAAATATACAGTGTATACAGTGGATCACACAATTTCCACCCCTCCCAGACCTTTAACACTGTTTTGTGAACTACAAAATCTAAACTGAATTGTCTTGATCCTTTGCTCAAGTCTGTTTGATTTTGTGCTTGCTGTTGTGCAAGAGATACAGACCACGTGTTTCTTTTAAAGCTGTTACTATGACTTTTTTTAAAAACAGCTGACTGGAGGATGCATGACATATTAGAAAACATGACCACAGTCAAATAATTAGTGCTTTCATCAGTGATGCAATATAAAAAGATCCTTGTCTGACCTTTTCATACACAAAAGTATGTCACATCCAAATAACTGAACTTCATTACATCACTAGGTGAAACAGAATCTAGGAATTCATTTATGGTCTTGGTTCATTATGAGAACCAGTTTTTTAGAGGGTAAAAGTGTAGAATAATAATAGTTTATAAATTAATTAGAGTTAAAAAGAAAACTTTCATTTAAAACTAACATTTTGACATGGAATTTTGATAAGATTTTGTGGCCAAAGAAATGCTTCTATACCACAGTGTGAATTATGCCGTTTACTCATCATCTCTTTCATCTCTTTTTATGTGACCTCAGTAGTCAAGGCAAAAGCTACCGCTTTTGAATCATGAAATAAATGCTGGTCAAAAGTTTCTTTTCTCTTGTGTCAAGTAGTTTCTGCCCATGAGTAATCCACAGCTGTTTTGTCACCGGATAGAAAAAGCTCAGTTGAATAGTTATTCAACCACACACCTACAATATGGTGATACGGACATATTTACACGTTTTCTTGCTGATCGTTTGTTGTTTGTCTGTGTCCAAAATTCACTGTGGTATTATTTGTAGGCCAATCCATCTCCTCATCACCAGTTGGATCCACACCAAAGCTGAAAGTATCTGAGCTTATGTTGATGGGATGGTCTGCGTTCTTGTCATTAACTGTTGCTGTCTCCTGATGACTGCTTCCATTCTGCTTTGTAGTCATATCAGTGGCAGTACTCAGGATGGCTCTCCCTGCCTTTTCATCGGTTCCATTGTTATTGGCCTGTGAGGCTGGGGGGTCTCGGACAGTGCTGAAGCCAGACTGGACCGCCGACAGCGTCCTCTGATTTATCTCTGGCCGCTGGCAACGGTAAAGCCCGCGGAATGCTGAGCGAAACTTCTGAGACATGACATTGTATATCACAGGATTTATAGCGCTGTTAGCATAGATGCATGTCCGACAAAACAGGAGGAACCAGGCATCCAGATAGGGTGTTGCTACGAAAGAGTTGATCAAAACTAAAGTCCGGTAGGGCATCCACAGTAAAGCGAATAGGATCACCACTACTGCCAGCATCTTAGTCACCTGCAGGGAAGAAGCAGAGACATTCAATTCATTGAAACTCAAAGCAGCTATGATTAGTTTTTAGGGGAATAAAGCCTCAAAGTCAATGATAGGCAAATAGCAGTCTGTGGATCAAATGTGGCCCTCCAGCAAATAAAATAATACTAATACTAAATTCATAATTTACATCAAAACTTTTACGTGATTTTTCATAGATGTACTGTAGATAAATAATGGATAATGAACAACATAATAATGAACATGACCTTATAACCTTGATTACTGACCCCATGTGAAGAAAGGCATACATACAGTGGCCACTTTGTCTTTGTTTAAATGAAGTCTAATAAACTTATCAGATCAATAACACATATAAATAATATAATTCACTTCCTTAACATGAAAAAGTACCTGTGAATCGATCATAACAAATGTGTGTCTCACAAACACAAATAGGTGGCAGTTTAAAATAAATGGCATACGAATGACGATGAAGTTGATGATGACGTTTTTAAGGCACCCACAACAACCACAAAGTAGCCTTGGCTTGAATTGAATTTGATTTGTTGCTCAAATGAAAATTGAGTTGATTTGTCTTGAACTGAATTTGAGTTAATACTAGTGACGTGATAGGGCTTGAGGAGGCTTAAAGTTTTGAACCCAGTCTCGAGCCTCCGTCAAGCTATCTGAGGTACCTCCAGATTCCCCTAAATAATGCAGCACGTACACGTAGTTTAATCGGCCCACTGCTGTACCTTGACAGGACATTGTCGTCTGAAATGAGTGATGAACATGATCACAAAGTCAGAATCTCCCCAATGCCAACCACCCATCAGGAATTCATGGTGATGAGCGCTAGAGAGGTGAGTCAAGAGATCAGAAGGTGGCCAAAGTCAAAATTGAGGTGACAACTAGGAAGAAGTGAAGAGCAGAGAAAGCTGCTGTGTAGGCAGAGCTCCATCACAATGGATTTGGATCGTTTCCAAACCCCCACATCCCCAAAGGAAAGGCGAAGTGACACCTAGTCTGGGGGGAAATAAGAGCAGCAGTGGAGGAGGAAAGGACCTGCAGAACATTGATGATGAGCTAACAGGGAGCACGGATCAGATGGAAGACCGCCATGGAGTGGAAAGCGACCTGGGCTGAGCTGTGCCCGACTGGATCAAGTTCCTTGTCCAGACGGTCTAGGAACCCTTGAGCGCATCCTTAGCTGCTGCACCAAGGCACTGAGAGAGTGGTGGGGCCAGGTCTTGAAGACCATCCAAGAATCCATCAGTGCTGGAGTTAAGTGGGCCAAGAAGACTCGCCATTCAAAAAAGCCATCGCCTTTGTCAGAGCCGGGGAATAGCCAAGACCTCCTGTGAGAACAACAGCAGGAATACTGGTCTCTGCAAGACAGACAGCTGATGGTGGACTATAAGAGGCAACTCAAGTTCCCGCAGCACATTGTAACCAGCACCTTAAGACCAGAAATGCTTCTAGGGTTTAATTTCACAAAGCCAGTCATACTCCTGGAGTTGACAGTACCCTGGGAGGATCACCTGGAAGTGACATTTGAGAGGAAGTTCCCCAAATATCTGGTCTGGTCAGAGAATGTTAGCAAGGTGGCTAGAGAGCAAAATTCTCGCCAATAGAGGTTGGAGGCAGTGGCTTTGCAGCCTGATCTCTATTCAGAGCTCATAGCTCGCTGGGCACAGAGGGCAAAAAGAGGAGAAGAGGCACCCGCAGGCTAATTGTTACCCCATTAGTCCATAACTTCCCACCCAGTGCCTATGTACTGTATGTACTGATACATACTGTACTGCTACACTATTGTAAAAAAGATTACACTCTAACTCATGAGTAACATGCTGTACACTGCAGGCTGTAATCTGAAGCATTTTTTTACATAACCTGTAGCCCCGTATACAAAAGTACTTGCTCAACACTCGGTTACTACTTGTAGGTATTAAGAGAGGATAAACATTGAATGGTTAATTATAATCATATATCAGGGCCGCCAACTCTCCTGCATTGGCTATGAAACTCAGGATTCTAATGAATACATTATGCTGCAATCCTGCTTCATGCATTATTAATTGACAGTATACCGTAAAACATTGATTTATAGCCCGGGCTTTTATTTGCTAAAATCACTGAACTGACTCTGCCTATATTTGGGACAGGCCTTTAATTCCTCTTGCTCAAGACTGCCCAGTGTTGGGCATAATAATAATATTACTTTTCCCAGTAACTAAGTAGTGTAACTAATTACTTTTCTAAAACGGTAATATTATTACAAGTTATTAAGGCAAGTAACGTAAATCCACGATTGTGCGACAGCTCAGCTGGACTGGACTTTGTTGTCCATGTCCGCTGATAGCCAAACACTAAAGGAAGAATGGACTGTGACAGTGAGTGGATGTTTGAGCTTAGATTATTTTGTTAGGAACCTTTCCTGCGTTTCCACCAAAATAACCTTTTAGGATCTGAGGAACCTTTCCTGCAATTTGACTGAAGAAATGTAGTTCCAGTTTTGAGTCCTGGGTTGCAGTTCCTGCTCTTTGAAATCTTTTTTTTATTATTATTAAGGAGTTTGCAGCACTGAACTTTGTTGTTTTGTTTGACACTAGCAGCACTTTCCACAAACCCACAACAGCAGGTTGAAAAGACCTTGGTTGAAACAAAGGCGAGGTTCATGAGTTCCTCAAAATCATTGGGAAGGTGAAAACAACCAAAATGCTTACATCTGCCGCCTCCTCAGCTATGATGCTGACACACAAATCTGCTTTATGCAGAAAACAATGAATTGTTTAAAATAAATAAATTATTACTTTTTTCCCCTTGGCCTGTATGGTCTTTCAGAGATTTTCCATCAAGGCAGAAATATAATTCTAGGAGGGAGAAAAACTTTTTAAAATTAAAAGGGTCAAATCTGCAACAAATCACAAAATGCGTCGTTAGCAGCTTCAGCTAAAAAATATAATTGGTCAAGGACAAGCACGTCACACAGATCCAGAAGAATTCACTAGAAGTGACATCAAAAAATATATTTATTACAGCAACTTGAATCAACATTATGACATGTCCAGGCAATGTCCAGGTAAACACAGCAACTGCCAGCTTTAACACGCTGTCACACCACACTTCCATTTTATTACTCATTGAAAAACTAATTTACGAGTTCAGGAGTTAGTGATAACGTCATTAATTTGACTGATAGTTCTAACTATTTAACCCTCCTGACATCTAAACAGCCATGCAAATGAGAGCTCAGCTGAAACAAATCATTTAGCTTAGTCAACGTCCAGCAGACAGGCTGGACTGGCCATCATCTAATGAATACATTATGCTGCAATCCTGCTTCATGCATTATTAATTGACAGTATACCGTAAAACATTGATTTATAGCCCGGGCTTTTATTTGCTAAAATCACTGAACTGACTCTGCCTATATTTGGGACAGGCCTTTAATTCCTCTTGCTCAAGACTGCCCAGTGTTGGGCATAATAATAATATTACTTTTCCCAGTAACTAAGTAGTGTAACTAATTACTTTTCTAAAATGGTAATATTATTACAAGTTATTAAGGCAAGTAACATAAATCCACGACTGTGCGACAGCTCAGCTGGACCGGACTTTGTTGTTCATGTCCGCTGATAGCTTAACACTAAAGGAAGAATGGAGAATGAGAGAGAGAGGCGTTCTTTCCACAGCTGTAAGCAGCTGCTGCCATTATTGTGTCACAGTCTAAGATGCAAAGAACATTGTCGTCTATTGTAAACTGTGCGACCAGCAAAATACTTTCAATCACGAACATTTCTACATCTGATTTATTGAAGCATCTGCTGAAGCAGCACAGCAACATGAAACTTACAGAAAGAAACTCACTGATGCTTGGACTCGTTGGGAGAGAGTGGCGTTAACGTAACATTTTGTAACTACTGAATACTGCTCTTATAAACAGACTAGCACAAGTGTGCTTATGCTGCGGTCAAAGCCCTTTCTGACATGACCAACATTAATGAGCTAAGCAAGGGAAGCTGGTGAGGCACATACTAACATATTTCATACACTTCCATCACAAAAAATAAATTAAAAAAATTACATGAGGGATGTGGGGGCCTGTGGGCCAGTAGAGCTTTATGTCTAGCAAGGCCCCAGGTTTCATGCTCAGAATCTTCTGGGGGAGGACGCCCCAGACCCCCCTATCAAATATTTCATCCATAAATTTTTTTTAACTGAATTAAAATTAATTAAGCTAGTTTATCACTCAGTGAAAAGGTGCCATATGCACATTTAAAAAGCCTTTAGGCGACTTCAGGCATGCCTGCATCTATGTAGACTCAGCTGGGATTAAATTAAATGAGAAAAGAGATTAGAGGTTTTATACATCCAAAGAACTGCTATAAAAATCAGACCAGATGTTTAATGGAGACCTGCGTTTATTTATCAAAATGTGTTCCCACACCAGGCCAGGAAACGGGGTAGGTGGCAGCTCAGCTTCAGAAGTTAAAAAAAAAGAAGAAAAAAACTGTAATAGCTTGCAGTTTTTTTCAATTGCTAAGATGCAGTGGTCAAAACTGAAGTCACTTTTTCAAAAGTGTTCACACAGTCTGCATTACCAACATGCAAATTGGTCAAAAAAGTTAATCTCACCTCAAAAAATTACTCAAACCACCCAACACTTCATACATGTGGCCCAAGGAACGTTAACCTGAGGGAGCGTTTCCATGTTTCCATTTCTTATTTTGTGATTGTTTCCGTTATGGTTGGCAGTGCTGTGAAATACTCGTTTTTTTTTTTTTTTTACAGTGCATACAGTGAAAGTGTTACTGTGAAACCTGTCCCAATCCAAACCCTTGCAATGTATAATAACTCTGTACTGCAGCCTTGTGCATTTTCATTTGCATCCAAACCGTAATCATAATTTACAAATATAAACAGTTTTGCAAATGTTAAAGATGATTCTAGAAATGTACCAAAGACACATATTTTCACTTTACTAACTGTTCTATAGTATATGTAACAAGAATGAATCA